CATTAATAAATCATAATTACTTATTTTTATGAGCACTAAATTTTTTACGTGTGAAACATATTAGTTGATCATTTAAAAAATAATAAAAAAATTTTTAATATTTTCAATATCAACTATGTGTTTTAAATGAAAATGTAATAATAGATATAATATTTTATAATAAAATATTTAAAATATTTTTAATTACTTTTTTATGTCGAGTTTAATTTCAATATCTACGTTTTTTATTAAAAAAATGTAATCATTGGTAAATGTAATAATTAATCAAAAATTAAAACATAATAACTAACAAAGATATGGAATTAATTAATTTTCTGGTACTTTTCCAATTAAGTGTTGATGCACAAATGTGAAGGCGAACACAAAAGAAAAAAAAAATATATATATATATATATAATGTAGTATAATTAACCATAGGTTTATCTAGGCTTGGAGACAGGTGAGCCTAGAATGGAGTCTAACAAATCAACATCATCTCCGTCCACGGCTTTCTAATCCGAATGCCACCTTTTATATAAACGTAGTCTTTATATTAAATTAGTTTTAAAATTGTACCATGCACGAAAATATATTTATATATCAATAAATTTTATATAAATATAAATTTTTTTAAATGATAATATAAGTTTATGAAATTTATAAACAATTCATTATTTATATAATTATTTTTTATTTAAATTTATATATTTTAATATAATAAAAATAAATTAATTATATATTGAATATATTTATGCAATTATTATTAGTTATAAAAAAAACTCAAACTATAATTTATTAAATCCAAATAATTTTTAAACAAAATATAATAATATTTTTTATTTTAAAAAGTTAAAAATTCATCCTTAAAATCAATATCGCATACAAGTTTTTTTTATAGAAGATTATTTTATAAGTTGTTAATAAAACGAAAATCTAACAATTGATTTTTTAGTATTTTTTATTATCTTGAAATATGTGCTATTTTACTTGATGAGCCAATAAATTTTACAGATAAAAATGAAAAAATAGATAAAACAATATTTTATAATTTAACAACAGTTGAGTTATAATTCAAACTATATAATTTTATAACAAACATAGTCATTATAATAAGTTTATATATGTCTCTTCCCATAATTTTTGACATTCAAGTTTATGATCAAAATCATACACTTTATTTACTGTAAATTTGATACTATTTGTCTTAAGATTATACTTGGTTGCTTTCGTCTCGAACACATAAATTTTACCTATGAGATTTTCAAATATCACTTAGATTTTATAATTTCTATTTTTCTAAATCATAAGTATAAATATATCATTTAATTAATTTAAATATTAAATAATATTAAAATAAATTTTAACTAAATACCTTAACAGATATTTTATAAAAATCATCAATATCTCTATTAATCAAATATTTAGCTTCTGTACTGAACAACATGAACATCGTCCTTTTAGAATTATCATATGCTTCAATATTAAACTTATACATATAAAAAATGTAAAATTCTATAATTATAAATATAATATAATAATTTAAAATACTTTTATTATTATTGTGGAATAATAATTTTTTTATGTATCAAATATAAAAAATATAAATACTAATTATCTTATAGTTGGATTATGAACTATTTTCCATCAATTTCAAATAGTTTTTTGTTACACTGACATGACATATAGTATCAACCAAAAGTGGTATCAACTTTCATAATAGTAACTTTATTGGTGAAAAACTTTTCCCATATATACCTAATCCTCTTTAAATCAATCATCAATAAAAAAATAATAATAAACTAATATCATAATTAAAGAAATATAAAACATAAGTATAAAAAAAAAACCTTTGAGCAATATAGACCAATAAACCATGCAAATGAAAATTAGGGAAAATTTAAAATAGAGTTAAATAATAATTAAAAGATATAAAAGTAGTGAAAAGTGGTTAAAGATACATTATGCTTAACCTAGAGTTACTTATACAAAAGGTGTATTATAAGTTAATTAATAAGATAGTTTTAAACTATGAAAGTTAATATTGAAATAATAAAAATTGTGAGTGAATAATGGTCTAACAATGGCAAGTTGATTGCTATTAAAATTTTATTTTGTCATTAACATTTAGAGATCACTTAATTTAGAATAATAAAACAAATTAAATTTATTATATTTAATAATTGTAATAAAATAAAATAATTTTTAATTAAATCAACATGCATTAATATATAGATTTTAAAATTATAAAATGTTACAAATGAAAATCAAATGAAATCATATTTAATGAAATATAAATTTATCAATCAAATATAAATTAATAAAAATATTTTATTCCATTAATTTAATTATGGAGAATTAATTTGATATACTTACTTTCTATATTTACACATGAAATACATTAATTACGCAAATGAAAACTATATTTAATCAAATATAAATATATCAAATAATTGATCAGAGAATTAATTATTTTATAATTGTAATTGTAGTATTTATTAAATTATTAATTATATATTGATTGATTTAATTTGTCAGAATAAATTTTTTTTAATTTTAATACTTTTAATATGAATTGAATTTTAGAGTGATTAAAAGTCAATAATAAAAACATAAATAGTCAATTAATAAGATAATTTTAAATTATTAAAGTTAATATTGAAATAATAAAAATTGTGAGTGAATAATGGTTTAATAATGGCAAGTTGATTAATATTAAAATTTTTTATTCTATCATTAATATTTAAAGATCCCTTAATTTAAAACAAATTAAATTTACTGTATTTAATAATAGAAATAAAATAAAATAAATTTTAATTAAATAAACATGCATTAATATCAGATAATAAAATTATAAAATATTACAAAAAAAAAACAAATGAAATAAAAGTGCATTAATATTTTATGAAATGAAATCATATTTAATGAAATATAAATATATCAATCAAATATAAATTAATAAAATATTTTATTATGTTAATGTAATTATGAAGAATTAATTCAATATATTTGCTTTATATATTTACACATAAAATGCATCATGAAATACATTAATTACTCAAATGAATACTATATTTAATAAAATATAAATATATCAAATAATTAACTAGAGAATCGATTATTTTATAATTATAATTGAATTATTTATTAATTTATTAATTATATATTGATTGATTTAATTTGTCAAGTTAAGAAATTTCTAAAATTTTAATATTTTTAATATGAATTAAATTGAGAGTGATTTAAAATTAATAATAAAAACATAAATATAATCATTTTAGTTTTTTTTTAATTATATTTGCTTTATATATTTACGCATAAAATACATTAATTACTGGATACTATAGTTAATCAAATATAAATGTATCAAATAATTGATTAGAGAATTAACTATTTTATAATTGTAATTGTAGTATTTATTTAATTATATATTGATTGATTTAATTTGTCAAATTAAGAAATGTTTAAAATTTTAATATTTTTAATTGAATTGAATTGAGAGTTATTTAAAGTTAATAATAAAAATATAAATATAATCAAATTAATTTTTTGAATTATTTTTAAATTAAAAATATATTAAATAAAATAAAATACATTTATTAAATGCACATGATAATTTTTAAGATTATCCATATGTCAACATTTTAAGCCGATCACATAAATTTTTTTTTTATTTTTACCAAAAGCTTTGATTTTTATATATTTATATAAGATATTACGTTTAATAAACATGATGTTTGAATGCTTTTTTATAAATCAAAACAGTAGTTGGCTGTTAGTTTAGGAAAAAAAAAATATGGATAAGTACTATAAATGGGATAAGTGAAGTCAAGAGTAATTTAAGAAATTTAGAAGAAAAAAAAAAGAAAAATGTCATTTATAAAAAAAATTTCAATTATTATAAGTAAGAAAAAAATTATGCTGTTATAAAGTTCAAATCAGTCTAACTTTTTAAGGATATGTTTAGTATATAAAATTATGATAGAATAAAATATGATAATATTATAAATAAGATTAAATTAAATACTATTATTATATTTTGTGTTTGATACATATAAAGATTAAAACAAAATAATTTATTTATTGGTTAAAAATATATTTTCTTAAAATTTATATAATTTAAATTATTGATATAAATTTTAAAGATATAATAATACATATAAATTTAATCTTATAGATTAAAAATAATTTTTATTACTTTATAAAAATTGAATCACTTTATATTAAAAAAATGATTAATTTTTTTTGTAATTTTTTTTATATACAAATCAAAGAGTAACATAAGATAGTTATAATATTATTTTATCAATAATTTTATATATAAAAAATGACCTAAGATTCATTGACGAACAAATCAATACGTGGAAAGTTTGATTTAAGGTTCAATCATAACATCATTCCGTCCTACAACCCTCCAATCAAACTTTCAAATGGAACTTATTTTTCCACAATTTTGCTTTTGGAGAGGATGTTATGGGAAGAAAAGCAAAACCACAAATGGCAGAGACTCGAAATCAGAGGTAAAAATGTAACATCATTGCCTTGTCAATTTAAGATATTTCCAGCACCAAATAAGCCATCCAATCGAAGTAAAGTCAGACTTCGCCAGGAAAAATTGCATACGCATTGCTAAAGAGTGTCCTTTTTCCACATGGTGAGCTTTTAATGGACAGGACTATGACCAGCGGCCTTCAGTCATAGGGATGGTAGGATATAGGGCAGATAAATTATTTTTTATTCTCCCTATATTTTTATATTATATTTATTTTTTACTTATATTTTATAAATATTTTAAATATTTTTATATTTTATTTATATAATTTTTTATAAATATATATTAATATATTTTTTAAATAAAAATATATAAGTTTTAATTAATTTGAAATAATAATTTATATTATTTTTTAAAAAATATTTATTAAATATATAAAATATGAATATAAATACAAAACTGATGTTATATTATTTATTTTCATTTTCGTGTTAGAAAAAGAATTTAAAATTATATCCATTTTTATTTTATCCCGATTGTCATCCTTACAATTCAAGTTCAAACAAAAAGATTTGGAACGAGAAAGACCAGTTCTGTAGCCACTACATCAAAGCCATAAGGTCCAAGAATCTTCAGTTAAAAAAACTTGAGAAATGATGAAATTCCTCAGACATTGTAGCTTTGGATGAGAAAAGCAAAAGCCTGCATTTTGTTTACAGAAGGCAAGTAAATGGTTTAAAGAGATGAGTAGATGATACCTCGGAGCCTTCGCAAAATGTTCAAACTCGTATGCAATCATGAAACATTTTGCAGCCATTGTCAGGATTGGATGTCTTCCACTTTTTACCATAGTGTTTCTCTTTGCTAAACCATCCTTGATCCCTGTCACTAAACCTAACGCAACCAAGACGATAAATAACAGGAACCTGAAGGAATTAACAGGAAATTTGTCATCCCTATGATCATTTCCGGTTAAAAAAAAAAAAAAAAGCAGTGGCCTAGCAAGTAGCAAATTTTTTTTTAAAAAAGAGAATTTTGGATAAAAAAATAAATTATAAGTGTTAAAATTTAAAATTTAAATTAAATAAATATTATTTTTTAAAAATAATTATATAAATTTAAGTTTCAAATTTAATAATATTGGTTGATTTGGGTAAGAATCATAGGGAGTAGAAAGCAGTAGTGACTAATGATTAAATCAGCCAGAAAATAAGATACTGGGACTATAGGAGGTAAGGTGAGGTCGACTAGGACTCATGGTTGTCAATGGTTTGTGAGACAAAAGAGGTTGTTTTCACCTAGTTGCAAGCGTTAAATTGAACTCAGAAGAAACAATGACGCTGTAAGCATGAGTGTAGGTCCATTGAGCTGAAACAGAAGCACATTCATCAAGCCCAACCGCCTGGAATCAATAGCCTTAACAGGAAACAGATGTCCAGGTGAAAATATTGTTATATATGACCCATGCATAACATCGATGATTCCAGGTTGGATTTCCAGTACCGTATGAAGTGGTTCGTGTAGAAGGAAGTTTATGGCCGATTCATCAATTGATCACACCAAGACAACTTGCAAAGAATCAGCAGCATTTTGCCCTTCCAGTCTTTGAATGCGATCTTTAACTCCAGGAAGGTAAGATTATAAATGAATCTAGGCAATGCAGGCAAGCTGAAAAGAAGGTAACCCGTCAACTCTGTGGACAAGAAGAACATTACACATTCTTTGACTGCGTTAATACAAAACAAAGATAAAACCCAAAAGAATTACGGGAATGGTTGCCAAACAAGGCTTTTAGATACTAGAATCTATAAACTACAAGCTACATTATACAATTAATTACAGCATCAAAAAAATCAGTTCAGATTGATTTTTGCAGGAAGACATATACCGGGAGCTTGCTCGTTCACAACAACACCTTCACATGCAACTAGTTGCACAACAGACTGAGAAGTGAGATGGTACTTCTGCTGAGCCTCAGCAAAGCTTCTTCCAAGCACTTTTTCAAGCCAATCTTCTACCGCTCCCTTTCTTTCTGACAACCATGCAGCTGCAAGTATTTGTACCATTACTTCTTGATCTATCTCCAATGGAACCTCAGATCCAACAGTCCTCTGAAATTGTGAGCTGACTTCCTTTACAATTTTATTGGCAAGTCCATCAAAATCAAATGGCTTGAAAAGTATCTTTTTATCTACTTGGCTCAAGAATTCCTCCAACCAACCTTCTGAGTTCTCGGAGAGGGACTCACTGTCAGATTCGCCCAATTTTAAGTCCTCGTCTGTATCCTCCACAGGAAGATTTAAATCCAGGCAGGATCTAGACGCCTTGCAGACTCGTTCTCCTGTGTCTGTCTTTTCCAACTCAGAAGACTCAACAGTATCGATCAGCTTTCTTTTGTTAACAAATGCAGAAGCAGAAGCTTCTTTTATTTTTGTAACTCTGGTGCCTGTGACATTGCTTCTGCTGACATCATCAGAAATAGAACCAACTACAATTTGAATTTGCCAGCTTTTCGCTCCGAGTATTCTTTCCTCATAGAATTTCATGGGTTTCTTCTCAAAGAAAACAGTTGTATTGCCTTTGGTGATGGTTGATGTTGTTATAAGAACCATATTGTTGATGCCGATTTCCCTCCCATGTGAATCAGGAAATTTACCTGTTCTAATAGCCTGGTCCAAACTATGTCGAACGTAATAATCAGCCTCATCCACATTTTCAAGGAAGATAACAGAATGGGGTTTCTTCCTCACTTCCGCAGCAATGAAATCGGAAACTGTTTTCCCTCTAAACTTCACATCATAACCATTTAACTCTTGGCATTCAAAAATTGAGTTTGACTGGCTACCTTTATCTTGCGAGCTCAAATCCACAGAAATTAAGTATTCCTGGCTACCAAATAGTACCTCAGCAAGTGCTGAAGCAATTCTTCTTTTTCCAACTCTGTCAGGTCCAAGGAAAGTAAGCCAAATATCCCCTTTACAGCTTATGCCACGACAACTTCCATAGCTTCTCCTTAATTGGGATACAGCTTGGCTAACAGAATTTACAGCTTCATCTTGCCAACCAACTTTTTCATCAAGAACTTTCCTAATGGACTTGTAATCTCCTTGATCAAACTGCTCTCCTGTTGCAAGACCAGAGCATGACGAAGATTGGGCAAATTGATATGAAGTATTCTTGGTATTTGCATCAAATTCAGCAGATATGGAACCTCGTTGAAGACGTTCCTTATGATCTAGCGACTTTAAGTTGTTTGATTCCTGACTGGTTGATGCATACATTGTTCCTAACTTTAAATCTGTGGTGACTGGAGGAACAAATAAAGATGGATTGCGTCCGCTTAGATTTTGCTGAGGCTGATGGGTAAACCCACGCACAACCTTATCTGTCTGCTGTGCTAAGCTTGAAACATCTACAAGTAACCTGGACTGGAAATTCGTATTCTCGGCTTCAGAAGTACGCGGAATTTGTGTGCTGGGACTTTGACTGGGAAATCGACTTTCATTGATAGACGGATCTTCACTACTGCTTTGCTTCTTTTCTGTGGCAAATTGGGGGGCCCCAACTATTGGAACTTGGGGCCCAGCGGGAGTAAGATTTAACTTGTAGATTGCTGGCATGTGATGGAGGCGTTGGCATATATCATCCCATTTTTTCTGCAACCCCAAAACTTTAGCACTTAACATGGTTTCACCATCTTTAGTCTGCACTGAATGACAAAGCACATTCTTAAATAAACATAATTATAATTTTATCGATGAAATAGAGCATATGACTAATGCCAATGTCGGATAAAAAGTAGGTGAGGCTTTATATCCTAGGCTGAGTCAAGATTTCAAAATCCTAAGTGCTAACCCACCTTTGCCACATCCTCTCCCTTGCTGGTGTCCACTGCCGCCATCCGTAACCAAGAAGGTAAGTTCTCTGAATGCTGATCAGCAACTGAAACTGTTGATCCAACCTTCAATATAGCAGCAACTTCTTGTTCATACTTCTCGTTGCAAAGGTTACATCGAGTGATGGATTGGTTTCTGCCACTCAACGGACTTCTAAAATCAGATGGTGTAGGAAAGAAGCCACCAAATGGAACAAAGGACTTCATCAAGCTGTAAGTATATCATGAGCACGGAACTGTGAGATCCAATGGGTAAAAACTGTCAGATGCTAAAGTGCAGAGGTACGTAGTAGTTAAACATAAATATCAATATAACTTAGAATAGCACTAACTGCTAATGTGCAATCAGATATCATTTACATTCTCATACAATAATACTAAATACACATATATTAAGGCAGGTTAGATGCCACTCCCATATATGATACACTATGGCTATGGTGCAATAAAGATAACATGCAATCAAAATGGTCATTAAAGGAAATAAACTTGATTCTGAAACCATAGCAATCTATATCTGGTTGATGCTCTGTTTATAAACAAAACCATGATCAGTATTTGCTCCAAAACCTAAAAACTTTAAAACTTAATTTAGTATCAAGATATTATATTGAGATACTGCTTCTCCATTTCTTAAACTGACATCGACACATTAAAAGGACACAAACTATCCACCTGATATAGCTCCAAAGACTTATTTTTTATTGCCATTATCTTATCAAGTACTACTATTTCACTAGTATAATAAAGGACAAAGCCATGAGGCAAGCAACCTTTTTTAACTACTACTAGTAGTAGTACATTTCAGTTATTTTATTGAAAATATGTGCTCACAAGAGTCACAACCCCTCAGGTGAGCAAAAACACCTGATCAGTAGAATTTTTTTAATAACCCAACACAGAAAAAGTAAAAAGCAACTAAAAGTAAAGAACATGGTATACATAAAAAAAATGGTGACTCTCCACTTCTGGAAATGCATAGAGAAAAACTTCAGTCTTTGCAATAATCAACAAATTGCAGTCAAGCAAATAAGTAGAACAAAAGCATAGATTTCAAGCATTGTAAGCAAACACCCACCTGGATTTGGAGTGAGCCCCATCAAAAGAACTCTTGGAAGAAGTAATGGGCAACAAATGCAAATCCCAATCTATTTCTATATTCGGAAACTTATCGGAAAACTTCCTGTAAATTTCAACAGTTTCCACAGCTCCAATCAACCATAATTTCCTCCTATAAACTTCCATTAAACCCGTTAATTTCAAAACCAAAGAACTAACAGAATCACTTAAAACCCCTTCCAAAAACAACCCTTTTAAGTCCCCAAAATTTAAAACCACTCCTCCTCCTCCTCCTCCTCCTCCTACAGACGCAGTACACTTCTCCAAAATACCTTTCATTTCCTTCATCTTTAACCCCAATTTTTCCTCATTTCCTTCAGTAACAAACTCATTAACCTCCTTTTCAATCGAAATTACAATCAACCCAGCCAAATCCCCATCCAAGAAACCAGATTTTCCTCTCGTTAAGCTCTCTGTAAAACCCCTCAAAGCTTCCATAGCACAAACCCCAACAAGCAACGGACTTTTCCCGCTCTTTTTAACCATAACTTCACCAATTCTTCGACAATTCTCATCAAACCCATCTTCTTGACACGAAAACGGGAAATTAAACCCGACTTGCCCCGACACCGAATCGGTTAAGTTACACAAAAATATAGGCGGGCAACGGGTACGTGAAAACCGAGAGGAAACGTGAGTTACCGGTGGGTGAACTAAAGCTAACTTTATGTCACAGCTCCGGAACCCAGCTTCCCCGAAAACCCGACTAACAATCGGATCATCGAGAATCGATAGAATGAAGTATTTAAGCTCGACCTTCAAAAGCGCCGCCGTTTGGGAACAACCGGTGGCGTTATTGATGTTATTATTGTTACTGTGTAACTGCTGTAAATGGTAACTTTCTGGATGGCGCCGTTGATTGGCTTGTGACCGTTTGATTGCGGCCATCAAGGAGTTGGAGATCGGAGGGTCCTCGACGGTCTTCGATGAAGGTAAACGGTCGAGTGACACCCCGACGGAAAGCTCCAACGCTCGAAATTGGAGTCGGGACGGGTACGCGATGCTTCGTGCCCGTGCACACGCGTCCCGGAGAGTGGACGACGGTATGGAAAGCAGCGCCGACACCGCGTGGAGTGATGTTGTTTGTGCATGGCTCCTTCTACGCGCTACCGCCACCGCTTCGTCTAACGCGCGCGCCGATTCTTCCGTTAAGCATTGCCGAGCTGCCGTTACCGGCGTAGGCATCGCCGCCCAGCATAAAAACAACAAAAAGAAAAAACAAAAATTTGATTTTAAAAATCTAAAATTGTAATTTTAGTTAAGGAATAAAAATCAAATTAAAATTTTTTTTGGGTGAAATGTACTTTTTTTTTTGGTGTTTTGTTTTTTGTGAGATAGAGCGAGCTAAGGCAATAAAAAAAATTGAGGCGAGCGTTTACTTCAACAACTTTTTGAAATTATTTATTGGGGAAGAAGGGGGTGAAGGAAAGCGTGGTGTCATGTCATGGGAAAAGGAACAAACAGATGGTGAGCATAGATTCTCTATCACTCAAAAGAAACATCTTCTTCACACAAAAATAAAATAAATAAAAGAGATATCGTCTGACTTCTATAGAGTAGTAGTATTATTTTCCCTTTGTTTTTTGTCGCGAAGGACGTATAAATATTAGGGAAATTTTTTAATTTAAAAAATTTAATATTATTAATTATATTATAATTATTATAATTGATTATTAATATTAAGTAATTAAATATAAATGAGGGTGAAGGAGATGCCGTGTCCACTGAAGCAAATGGGCCAAAGGAGGGAGCAGTTGAGTCACTGTCGTCGAGAGAGCTTTTCTTTAGGTAGAAGAGGGAAAGATAAATAAAAGAAACTAGAAAAGGAAAAGTTTCATATTTAGATTTCGACATAGATTTAGATTTGCATTTGATATGTGTTATGCTGTACTTTTAATGGTATTGATCTTCATGTCGACTAACCAGGGACCATATTTTCAACCCCATATTCTCTTTATTTATTTTAATTCCCCTTGCTTTTATTTTTATTGTCGTTCTTAAATTTTAATAATTTAAGTGTTAAATACGTTTTAAATAAATTTATATTTGATATATTATTATGTATAAAATTTTTTATATTATTAATAAATTAAATGTTATCATTTTTTAATAAAATAAATTAAATATGTCATTTAATTAATGAGTAATATTTTTTAAAAAATATATACATTAATTAAATAATATCATATGATTTATTATTAATTTATAAAATTTATATACTAATAAAGTATAAAATATAAACTTCTTAAAATATTATTTTCTTATTAATTTTTACATGTCACATTTGATGATAGGTCAAATATTTAGTTAAATTTGATAATTAAAAATATAATATGATGATATAATATAAAAATATTATTAAAATAAAATATAAAGGTGATATATCTTAAAATTTTAATAATAAATATATGAGTTTAACAAATATATATATATTTTATATTTTGTATTAATATGAAAGGTATCTCAAAATTTTTTTATAAAATATAATACGAATATATAAATGATCACATTTAATTTTAACAAACTACTTAAATACTCAACTAAAAAATATATCAACAACACATGATAAAGAGGTGACATATAAGGGAAAATTTTTGTGAAATAAAAGCACGAATTTTTTATAAAGAAAATTACAAATATTAAAATTTAAAATATTATATCTTTAAAATAATTTAATTTAATTTATAATTTAATATTTATTTTTTAATCTAAAACAATTAAGTATTCTCCACCACGTGTAACCCTCCTGTCGCAGTTATGAAATACGGTGGAACATTTAAGATGCAAAGTTTTCAGTAGATAGCCACCCTTCTTTCCCTCTTTGCAATTCATATCTTTACGAATCATACATTCTTTTTCTGTTATAAGTATTTTGCCTTTGAAAACTGCTACTCAATGTGAGCCACTCACGCTTCATCTTTATATTTTTCATTTACACACATTTGGAATACATACGTGCTTTTTCCTTTATTTTAATGAAAAAATTAAATTTTATTCATCAATAAAAAAAAATAACAACAATAATTTAGGTTACCAAGGATGACATTTCCACTTATTAAAATTTAATTTTTTATTAAAAATTTTATATTCGAACCATTAAAATGATAATAAATAAGATTTTACAATATAAACAATAACCCATATTTCTTATACGACTCAAGCTTAATAGATTTGCTCATGTTCTAATGCTTTATTTAGATAAATTTAATGATAAAATATATCATTTATTTAAATGAAATATAAATCAATCGTATTAAATTTTACGTCGATGATATTATTAATTTTTTTTTTAGATTTAAGACATTTTCACATTTGATAATTACTTTATAACTTGATTAACATGGAGTTAATCTGAATAAAATCTTATAAAAATGTAAATTCTTTTAATATCTATTTTTTTATTTTTATGTTTCAAAATTAAAATTTTATTTAAAAAAATCAAAATTTTAATTACTCTATCAATAAGCGTTAGTTAATATTATTATTATTTTTATGTTTGAAAACGAAGACTCAAGAGTAAGGGAAAAGTTTTAAAATGAAAATATTAGTTAAGGTTGGGGATTAGGCCAACTTACCTCACATTTGAAATTATTTAGAAAAATTTCCATTTCAGTGCCAAAAAACTTTGCATACTTGTCATAATTTAATTTCTCACAGTTAAAACTTTTTAGCTTTCAGTCCTAACGGGTCATTTTCAGATGGGACTCAAACTAGACTACAGCCTTTGGGGCCCCCTTAGATTGGTCTATTTTGTCACGTGCAGGGTATGTAGACCAAGTTATTTATCCTTTTTATTATCAACCAATAGAATGTAGATACGTGCATTGTGGTCATCAAGTGAGAATGTAGATCATTGCTGCTCTGTCAGAGGATAACTCCAAAGGGCAAAGAAGCGATTGAATTTCACTTGTTTTTCCGCTTCTCCTCTACTCAATGGAAAAAGGTGTTTGATTTGACGTTCTCTTCCTCGTTTTCCCTATTTTTTTCCTCTTTCCTTTTTATTTTTCCTACACTATTTATTTTTTTAAAAGAAATGCCTAAAAAATACACTTATCGTCTTTATTTATTTGTTTTATATTAATTTTTACGAAATTAAAATTTTTTTAATTTTAATATATTTATTATTAAAATTAATTTTTTTATAAAATTAAAATTTTCTAATTTTTAATATTAAAAATTAATTTCGTGTAGTAAATTTGAAATAAATAAAATTTTATAAATAAAAAATCAATAATCGATTGCATTCGGGTATTTGAATCAATCATTGTGCTTTTTTTTTTTTTCAACTCAAAAATAAAAAGATCGAGCTCGTATTGTATCTCCCAATGTAAAAAAAAAGTGATGATTAGCAAATTTAATCCATAGTTCAACCCAAAGTGGGTTTTTTTTTTTTTTTTGATTGTGTAAAGTGTTACAACAAGTCAATTATTTTTAATATTTTTTTACAAGCTGAATGCCGAAGTGGTCCTACAATTCGTATCTATGCTGTTTTCAAGAACATTTGCCTATCCATTTGGGAAGCAACAGCAATTGAATTCAACTATAATTACCATTATTTTATAAAACCACCCGAAAAAAAATAAGTTGACCACGTAGCCCTCATTGCCCCCTCTCTCTTCTATAATTTTGATAGCAACGGATGCTGAGCTTATCGTCGCCAATCACTTTCAACTTTTGAGCCTCTTCAATCGCCAAAGGGACAGAGGTGGCTATTCTTACTCCAAAAGTTCTTTGCCTCGTCACCAGCTTGTTTGGAGTTACTCAAACCCAACTTGCTTGCCTCATCGACTGCCAACCCCGCATCCATTCCTCGGCACGTGAATCCACGTTCCAATGGGAAGGTTTTGTTTTGGTGTGACGTGTCAAATTAAAATAAAAATCTTAAGTTTCTTCGATATTAAAATTTAGATTTTAAAGATATTAAATCTTAATTTATAAGAATAATTGCATTAATTAATTAAATTTAATTTCAGATATAAAATTATTATGAAACTTTGATGCATTTTTTAATAGGTTATAAAATTTTAACTGAAAAATTCACTTAATTGCAATTTTTAAAATTTTATTTGTTAAAATTTTAATTTAAATTAACTAATTATAGATAAAAAAATTATTTTTAATCTAAAATTATAAAAAATTTAAATTTTAATACTCATAAAATAATATCACTTTAATTAAATAAATAAGTTCATCTTTCGAGGTATTGGGTTTTTTTTTTTGGGTTAAAAAAAAGAGTAAAGTGGAAATTCAAGAGGAAATGAGCGCGTGAGAGGAAGGGTGACAATAATGGAGGCGGAAAGGAAAGGAGGATCTAATTGATTTTGGCTTTTGTTGAATCTCATTTTCTGCATAAAGTAGCTTTCGCTTGAATTGGAATATCTGGAAAAAAAAAAAAAAAAAGAAATGTTGGGCACTTACCTTTGTGTTTCTTATGTTTTAATCGCAGAACACGGAACAAACAACATGGGATCTTGCTTTTTGCCATTTCTATGTAGGCTAGATGTTGGGGGGCTTTGGTTTTGGAAAAATTAATTCTTTTTTGAAATTTTATGTTTTGTAATTTGATTTAGGAAAATGTGATTGGTAGGATTTTTTAATATTTTTAATACTGTCGAGAAAAGAAATTTGTTAAGATTTCAAAGGAAAAGTATAATTTTTTTTTCATTTACCGTTATTTTATTGTATTTTTAAATTATATAAATAATATTATTTATTTAAAAATTGTAATAATTTTTTATAAAATATTATGAAAATATTTCTTTCTTAGGTTCCTTTTGGTAACCGAAAAATAACATCCAAAAAATAAAATATTTTCCTTGAATAGATTTTCTGAAAAAAAATTATTTTTCAGTGTTTGGATCACTTTGGAAAAAAACATTTTCTTTACAATTAATCTTCTTCTTCCTTTATCTTCTCTTGTAAATCTTTCTTTAACTCAGCATGACCATTTTAAATGCATAAAAACCCACAAAATAAACAGAATAAAATAACCAAATAACAATATTTAAGAAAAAAAGATTTTTTTTTAAATGCCCATAAGCTATAAGATTAGCTTAGAGATTGAAGCTTGAAAAGGGAGATCTAGAGAAAGCTTGGGGCGAAGAAAATGATTTTTATGAAATCTAGTGAGCTTGTGAAGAAGAAAGCTTTCTCGTTACTGTCATGGGGAGCTTTTCTGCTTTTTGGTAACTTATTGTATTTGCAGGAGGAGAAGAAATCAAGAAAAAATGAGATGAAATCAAAGTTTAGAAGAGAGATTTGGTGTAAGAGAAAGAAATTGGGGCTTTTTTTTTTGTTTTTTCTGGATTTGTGAAGATTAAAATTAAAGTGTTGTGCTTGACTATTGAGAGTAGAAGAGATAAGTGGAGTACAGTTGAGGACAATTTCTCTCAATTCGGTACTATTCCTTTTTGATCAGAAAATAATTTTTGTTGACTTCAGTCATCCAATCACCAAAAAAAGACAAAAAATCATTTATGAAAATGATTTTTCGTTGTACCAAACGAAGCCTTAATATATTTTAAACAAAAAATCACGTTTATAGTATAGTGTTATTGAAATTTTTACAAAAATTATAATTTAAAA